GTATTAGGAGAACATGACATGATAGGAGGTCGATCGAAAAATTTTTCCGAGAAATGACGTCAATTTTTCGGAATTTCTGAAATTCTTGGAACTGAGGTCTAGTTTTTGGAATTTTTGAGGTTCTTGGAACTGACGTCAAATTCTCGGAAATTTCCAAATGGTCGAATGAACAAAATTTCAGTCTAAAGATTCGATTTTGTATTAGGAGAACATGACATGTTAGGAGGTCGATCGAAAAATTTTTCCGAGAAATCACGTCAAATTCTCGGAATCTCTAAAATTCTTGGAAATGACGTCGAATTCTCGGAATCTCTACAATTCTTGGAACTGTCGTCAAATTCTTGGAGATTTTCATATATTCGAATATAAGAACGAAACTTGTAGCTAAAAATTCTGTTTTGTATTAGGAGAGCATAATTTAAATGGAGTTTTTGCACATTCATCGTACATTTGCCGTTTCTGCACTTATTTTTTTACGAATTTTCTTAGTGTTGGAATTTTTTTTGACCTTTTTTTTTAAAAAAAAAACATTTTTTTTTATAAATTTAAATTTTCACTTGTTATACATTTATTTTTTACTGTAAATTTTACCATTTTAATTCCTTTTTTTAGTATTTTTTTAATATTTAAAATATTCGGGCACTGTATTTTTTTTATTTGAAATATCTCGATTGTTTTTTTATGACCGATTAGATAATACATTATACCGAATAGCATTATCTGATGTATATCGCTTATTTTTAGAAAAATAAAAAAAGTGTTTCGTGTAAATGTAACATGTTTTCGAGGGGGGCCCCTCCTGCTAGTATTTATTTTTTTATATATAGAAGCATAAAATATTTATACTCGTAAATATTGCTTCTTTAAATGGAACTATATATTTTTTAATACAGTTGTCGTATGCCACTTGATATCAACCATTATTTATAATCTTTTGATGTTAGAACTTTGTATTTAAAAAAATGTCTTTGTATGCTTCATTGAAATAATTGAAAGTACAATTGCTTACAAGAAGAAGTGAAAAATTCAAGACTCTATTATCTACTCTACTATGTCTATAAACCACTTACCAACATTTTTTATACTTATACCCAACCTCCATCCCCATCCACCATCGCAAATTCACCCCAGTCCACCCTCATCCTAATCATCCCTATCGAACAGAGGTTCGATCCGCACAGACCGACACCCGTATCTTGGATTACACGTCTCCTGCCCCTCCTCCCTCTAATCCCAACCGCGAAAATGAATACTAATTGTGAGTACACGAGTCCCAGGTGAATTTCGGTACTCTTTAATTGCCAGGCTCGAAGCCAGCGCCAATTCCTCCGCTTTCGAGCGCACAGCTATAATCCCCGTTCCAAAGCCGGGTGTTGCGATCGTTGAACCGTGGGCAGAGACAATGCAACGGTGATTAGGCACAGCCGCGAGCAGGGTGGTGGCTCGTTTCGCGAACGATTTCCGGCCACGAACGGAGCGCCACGTTGAAAATGAAGTGGAAGGCGCCTTTAGCGGATTTCGTTTCAGCTGTAGCTCACCCAGCGCTCGTTTAACCGGTGTAAAATGCCGGCGGGGGCGGGGGTTGGGAAGGTGTGAGGGGGTGGATTTGACTACGACTGACAGGGACACGTTTTATGCATGTTTCAGAGGGGCAGCTGTACGCGGCGACGGTGGCCGATTTCTCTGGTGGCGAGCCGCTGATTCACAGGGACAAGATCCGCACCGAGCGCTCGGATTTGAACCAGCTGAACGGTAATGGAACTCGCGCAAATTGCATTAGAATATTCGTGCACGAGACGCGTACAACGGTGGAATTTTATCGTGCGCAGGGATTTTACCGCGTTTCTAAATTTCAATTAGCCGCGGATTCGATTTGTTCGTCGAGCTGGAGGTGGTTGGAAAGAGGGTTGTGGAAAGGGTTGTAGAAGAGAATTTGAGAATTATTACGATTTTGGATCACGATATGTACAATCATAGGAGGAGTCTGAAATTTTTTTGAAAGGATGGGTGGGGGGTGATGGGGAAGAATTTGAGATATTTAGTTTTTTCAATATTAATCATTTATTCTTTGATTCGGTTTAATGTAATTCTACACGGTTTAATTGATTCAAATTTTTTCCTTTTTTTTAATAATTGACTAGCCAAACTCTAAATTATTACCATGATTCCGGTAACGTTATGCAAATTATTAAAAATATTAAACGATCGTAACCTTGTCGTTCAATTAATGAACGAGTCAAAATAACCACAATCCAGATGTACGGAACAGCAATCCATTTGACTCTAAAATATTGATAGAGAGCGCGTAACCATAATATTGATTTTCAATGCTAGAAAATGATTTTTCCACCAGCTATTTATACCCAAATTGCCGTTCGGTGAATTGAAATATTCGATATTTATTTAATCGACGTTTTAACGGCTATGTTTGGAAAACCGATCGAAAACGTATGTACATACAACAATTTCCACGCCACATTCGAATCTCTCTATCGTGCCATCACATCCGTATAAAATTTTACGACATCGTCGCACGTGAAAAATTATCGCTTATTTTATTTGTTTTACACCTCGTGTATAATGGACGATACTAACATAAATATAAGAAGATTTTGCATAAATTACACGCTTTACTTTTGCATTTGCATCTTTCTCCTTTTTTTTCTCTATTTTTTTTTTTTTTTTTTTTTTTTTTTTTTTTTTTTTTTTTTTTTTTTATCAACGTTTATCCTCCTATTCTTTCTCCGGTAAATTTCCAAATATTATTTATCGGCTGATCACGAGTTATCGGCTGACGCGGGTTTTTTGTATAAATTGCATAATCCGTTTAATGCTTGCGGAATTTTTGATCGATCGCAATTTCAACGGGGGTGTAGGCGATCCTCCCGTTGGCAATTTATCATACTGGCCGCTCTTTCGAAATTACCAAGTTATTGGAAGATCCATCTATAGCCCCGAAACGAACGGATAATTTCGTTTGCGTCGTAAAATACGTGGAAATCGAACGAGAGATATAATTAGAAATAGGAGAAGGAGAAATGTTGGAGGAAAGTATTATAAGGTTGTCTCAAAAGTTTCTTTTCAATTTTTTTTCTTTTTTTTTTTCCTATCTCCAGATCTCTCTCGTTTTTCTAGAATTTTTATTCTTATCCTTTTTAGATTAACGATGGAGATGGATTGGATTCTCATTGTTGGAGTGTATGCTGGAACTTTTGTATCCCTTCAAAATGATTTATTCGTAAAATATTTAATTAATGACGTTCAAAGAAAATTCGATTTCGTTTATGAAAAATTATCGTAATTGATTATTTAATTAACTTGTTAAAACTTGTTAATATTATTGAAATTTTGTGAGGAAAGAAATTGAATCAGTATGTTCTGATATTAATAAAAAAAAAAAGAAAAAGGAAAAGAAAGAAAAGAAGTTTGAAACAATTTAATACTTTATGGAGATGAATAAATAGCAGAGAATTTAAATTAGAGAAGTGATTTTTTTGTAACAGATTCAAATTTTGTTATTTCAGGTCCGAACTTCGTCAGTTCGTTTGCATACGAAGATTATGTCTTTTTCTTTTATCGAGAAACAGCTGTCGAGTACATGAATTGTGGAAAGGTAAGATTTGATTAGAAGTATATTATATTATATATTTATCTTGAAAAAATATTTTACAATAAGAATTTTATTTAATCCTCTTCCTTATTTATTTTAAATATTTTTCCACTTTTATGAAATTTAAATTATTTTTATTTGCATTAGAAAATAACAATAATATTTTGGTCATTGCTTTAAAGATTTCCTAGTATTAAAACATTAATAAAAGTTTTAAAAAAGAATTTCAAATTCATCAATAGAACTTAAAAAAATTCTCAACTCTCTTAAACACTTCAAGCTTTCTTAAATAAATTATCTCACAAACAAAATACCTATCCCATCAATATATAATCATATAATCTTCAAACCAACAAATTATCAATAAATAATCGTCTTTTTTAAATAATCAACAAAAATGCAATACATCATTCTACCACACAATCCACAACCTATTTTCCCAATCCATTCTCCTCGCATCCTCAAATTTTCACGCGCCAAGTCTTTCACCCTTAACCCCACTCCTCTCTCCCCTTCTCCCCAACCTCACAAAGTAACCGAGCATAATAGCTCGTACGCAGGTTGGAGAAGCAAAGACGGTCCCGTCAAAGGGCAGGAAAATATCGAAGGATTGTTCGAAAGGTTCGTGCACATTTGTGTTTTAGGCGGTGTACTCGCGAGTCGGTAGAGTGTGCCAGCACGACAAGGGCGGACCTCATGCGTTCAACGACAGATGGACGAGCTTCCTGAAAGCGAGGCTCAACTGTTCCGTGCCCGGCGAATACCCTTTCTATTTCAATGAAATACGTGAGTACGCCTGTGCACATGTACACATATCGTGTGTATATACACGTATGTATATAAATATATATATATATATACACAGCCATAAGTTCGCCACGCTATGACGTTTGCCGAGAACCCTCGTCGAGTGCACTCTCCGGACCCTGTGTACCGGACAGAGGGGTTGGCCTGACCCGGTGCACTAACCTTGCAGACTTATCGAGTAGGATTGGGCCAATTTTGCGAACAAACTGGACCGAGAAATTTATCGTTTATCCCGTGAATTTTTATTTTTATCGCTCTATTTGATAGAGACGTGGGAAAGTATATTTTTGGAAATTTTGATTTAAGTTTTTTAAGAAAAGTTGAAATTTGTAATATTTTCAGTATTCATAATTGATTTAGATTTCTTGTGAAATGAATTTTACAAGATTAAGATAAAATTTTGAGTAAATATTTCGTTTTTGGTGATATGGATTCAAATTGGAATAGTAAAATTGGAAATATAGTAAAATTGGAATTAGAATTAAGTTATTTTCAAAAGATACTCATATGTTTCGTATATTTGAGGTATTTTTCTTGAATTGAATTTAAAGAAATATATTTAAAATGAGAATAATGAAATTAGATATATTACAATTACAATCGACGTAAGAAGAAAAATTGTGAAGTTAATTAGTAAAATACTTAAAATTAAATTTCGTTGAAGAAGGATTCAACATTTCTGCCTCAGGGGTACATAGTTACGAAGAATGATCTTCGTAACTGGAAAGGTTTAGCAATGTAATCTCTAAATAGAGATCAAATTTTGGCTAAAAGCAAGGCGAATGTGTGCATAGGCTAATTGGGCTGGAGTCCAAGCTCCAAATTGTCTAACAACTCTCAAGGATCATGCTCTCCAATTTTGTATCCCTTGTACACGATTCACGTATAATGCAACTTGATTTTAGAAGTTTCATTATGTTTCTGTTATTCACCTCCGTTACGAGAAAAACGGACTAACTCGAAAATTTCACTGTTTAGCATTTCAAATAATACATCGTATAATATAATCTGTTAAATCTGTAAAAGCTCTTTTATTCGATATTTTTAACCAAAGTTTTACTGAACTCTCTCTATTCAATATTAAAAATATTTATTAAAATAAATAACAACTCCAGATAGATAGTTTTAAAAATTAAAAAGAAAACGTGATTAAATTATTTCAAAATTTATTATAAATTATTACATTGAACGAAAAAAAAATTATTTGAAAATTATAAAATTATAAAGAATGATAAGAAACAATAATTAATCAGATGGTTAACAATATAAAAATTTTATTGCGTTATTTATAAATTTATTTATTATTTCTTCCATTTTCTTCAACAATCTGTCCAAAAAAAAAATATTCAACAATCAAATCTTTACAAATCTCAATACAAAAGAAAAAAAAATTAAAACGTTACAATTATTCGATAACGTTCAAAAACTTTCACGAGAATCTCTTCAAACGATGCTTGATTCATAAACCAAGAAAAATCTCAATCCCTTTACCAACTTCATAAAATCCCAACTCGTTTATTCTTCATTCCAACGTCAATACGTCTGAGTAATTGCCAGCCGGTAATTTCGAGAAATGCAACGTAAATTGGCGAAAAGAAGAAAAAGAAAATAGAGAGCAGGCAGGCTTCCCTCCCGGTTATAAATATCCTCCAAGATAAGACGCCTTCGATATTCCTTACGGGGGCTTACCAGAAATCCATTCGGCTTGATCTCTCTTTCTCTCAACCTCTCTATCTGGCTGTGTATCAACGGACGCGCCCGTGTAATTCTTCTTCTGGAGCACGTTTTATCCGCGCCGATCGTTTCGAACGCCACCCTTAAAAAGAAAGAAAGAGAGCGAGTGAGTGAGAGAAAGAGAGAGAGAGAGAGAGAAAAAGGGAGAAGTACACAACGATCGTGGTGCGCAATTATGACTTAACGATAAGGTGACGAGCAAATGGATTTGATTTCCTTACTCGGCCCACCAACCGCGTCCAACTCGGTTCAATTTCCATTATGTTCGTCCCACCCCCTTACTCCACCCCCTTTCGCTCTTTTCTTCGTCTTCGTTTCTGCTCAGCGATTTTCCATTGCTGACCCACCGATTTCCTACAGCGGCCAAACTAGTTTTCCTTATCACCGCCACTTATTACATTATCATTCCTTCGTCCCGCGTTTTATAGGGCTCCTCGGCCATCCCTAATATCTTTCTGCTGCGTCACGCGAATAACAATTGAACGATTTTTCTTCAGCTTCGATTACGCTCGGCCAAAGTCTCATTTTCGTTACGACGGTAATGGTGGTGGTGATGGTGGTGGTGATGGTGGAGGTGGTTTCAGAGAGTTGATTCCGTTTTGCTCTTATCGTTAAGGGAGAATGTATCTGTAAAGAGAGTTTGCTGTGCGGGGAGATTGTTTGGCAAAAAAGCGATCGATTTAAATGAGAATTTCTCTCGGGGATCGATACATTGGGGATGAAATAGATGGAAAATGTTGGAATGAGGGGAAAAAAGGATATGAATCGTGATTCTCTCTCTCTCTTTCTCTCTCTTTTTTCTCGTGGAGAATAAATATGTAGGTATTTGGATTTGTAAATGTAAATATTGAAAGTGTTTGATGCTGTATTTCATTTTCAAAACAGTGTGATTAGTAATATAATAAATTTTTAATGGAAATTATTTGAATTTTAAATAAGAGGTTATTGCATTTTTAATAGTTTGAATGAATGTTTATCCAAAGTTTTGTCGAGCAGAAAATTTCACAAGTTTCTAATAAAATAATTTTTATTTTAATTATAGAGATTAACATTAAGAAAGTTTTAAAAAGTGCTAGAATTAAAAGAACATGATAAATAAAAGTGATAAATAATGAAAATTGTATATTGTATTAATTATCAAGTATTATATTACGGGTCATAAGTATATTTTAATCGATTTTTCGACATTTAATATTACCGGCATTTTGGCAAAGTGTGGCAATTAACTGCACATTAATAACTGGGAGCAGTACTTACTAGCTTCTAATGGAGTCGGTAGATCGTAAATTCAAATTATCTATCAAAAACGTTACCTAACACATTACAATTAAATACGCGATTTATCGTGTCAATGCTTAAATTAATTGCGATAATATTAATTGCGATACCGCACATTTCGCAAATTATCACAGCAAAATTAATTGAAATAAAATACGAAATTCCATTACATTCGTCCAACGCACTTTTGCCAAATAATTTTTCACCAATAATATATTGTATCTTTTATGAATGTGCTATTCAAAATTTTAGCAATTCTAAATATTATGTTGCAACAAAAATTTTTATTCCAAAGACAATTAAATTTATTTATAACATTTAATGTAATGTAACAATATAATACTATAATATTCAAATATATTAGATTGTTGTAAACATAATGAACGTCAAATTTGAATGTTTTCTTGTACAAGTTTAAAAATTCAACATAAAGAAGTTATTGATAAAATTTTCAAAAGAACTGAACAAATAATCTTCTTAATCAATAATCAATGAATCGTAATAATCTTGCTTTTCAATGTATCAAATATATTAATCAAATTGTAATTAATAACATTTTCTATGAAATCATAAATATCAAAATTCTCATACTAAGAATTCTAACTGAATGAATCTAAAACTTTTTGCATCGCAAAATGGGTCAAAATACACCAAATATATCTCCACTTCGATCCGAATGCAGCCAATGCACGAATTGCATCCATATATATTAGCAACATTATACAATTTCACACACAATGTAAAATCCCATGAATGCAAGAGATTCTTTAACAGAAATCGATATAACGCGGCATAAGTGTGCGCACAATGGTCAGTGTCAATCGACAAAGCGGATAGAATGGCCCTCGTCAGATATTGGCCCCCGTGCATTACCGGAAAGGTTAGGGTGGGTATCGCAACGTTTCCGCCGCGCGAAGGGCAACCGAAGCGGATAAAGCTTTCATTTTCGATAGCCACTCGTGCGGATATCTCGTGTCATAAACAAAGTTTTTAATCAACGAATTTTCAAAATCTCACCCACGAAACAGGTCAAGAGTCAATTTAACGGTGGGATCGTTTGTTGCACATTGGTACACTCTTGTGCATAAATTTTTGGATTTCTTCTAATTTTGAGCACAATGTTCGTTTATTGGAATTTTAATCGATTTAATCAATGTTTTGTAATGGTTTCATTGTTGTAGGAAAAGAAGAGATATAATTTTATAAATGTGTTGATTGAGTTAATTGTTTGTTGAACTTTTTAATATTTTTTGTAAATATTTACATATTGTTTAATATTTTCCTTCGATAATTTTTATTTCAATATTATATATAAAATTTGGAATGATAAGAATAATTTTTTAAAGTTTTCTTTATGATAAAAAAATTTGTTTTCATTGCAATAAAAAAAAGTGAATTATCAAATTATATAATTACATATTTTGCGAGATTCTCGTTAATATAATACGGTAATAAAATAATATGGATTTTTTTTGTCATTTATGCAAGATAAAATTGGATTTTCAACTATATTAATTAACTATTTATTTGAAAGTACAAAAGAAGAAAATGAAATTTAACAAAATTTTTAATTTTCAATTTTTTATTTCCTTTTTTAAATATCTTTGAGTATCTTTTTTGAATAGTATTTCAATGGAAATGGAACTGATTACACATCTAGTGAAAAAGTTTATTCCGATGCTGATCAAAAAATATCAAAAAACATGGAACAATAGGAGCACTAGATGTCCGATACATTGATACCTGTTTTATTTCTCTTTTAACGAGTTCTCCACGAACGTCAATAATATTGTATAAAAATACGCTGTCAAATACAATTGCAACATGTAATACAAACGTACATTTTAATTTCCAATTATCAAATAATTAAGCTTTCGTGCATTGGAATTCCTCTAATGAAATATTGCTCATTTTATTATAAACCGAACTTCGTCAAAAATATATTTGATTTATTCCCAAATATCGTT